TGCTCTGCACGCGCAGAGCTCCAGCGAGGTTGTCGCACGCATAGAAGAATAAAGTTCCCCCGATGCATTGCGGCAGCGGTGCATGACGTAGTCAAACTGGCTAGTGAGATCGGTCTATAGGAGGTATTCACTGGACGCCATATTTGAGGGCGATGTTTAAAGCGCATGCCCAGAACGAGCTCACATTAATAGCCTGCTAAGACCGGCAACCTTGATGGTGTAAAATGCACGCTCCAAAAGGACTGCGGAAGTTCGCCGTCAGCACGCGCTCAGCAGCCGCGCACACAGATATGGCCGTCAGTGAATACTCCCTATAGGGGGTATTCACTGGACGCCATATTTGAGGGCGATGTTTAGAGCGTATGCTCAGAATGAGCTCACATTAATAGCTTGCTAAGACCGGCAATCTTGGTGGTGCGGAATGCACGTGGCAAAGGAACTGTGGAAGCTCGCCATCAGCACGTGCTCAGCATTTGCGCACACAGGTATGGCCGCCAGTGAATACTCCCTATTGGAAGCTTGCCAAAGCTATGTTCACGCGCACTCTGCACGTGCTTGCACGCGTAGTGCACCAGTCGGGCGCCATGGTAGAAGTACAATGTTCTAGAAGGACTGGCGCTTTGAGGAACAAATTCTGCGTGACTGCAACTGCGGTATATCGATTAGGAAGAGGAACAAATCCGTAGAGATGCAAACTGGAGCGCTCGCTGAAGTAAAGCTGGCGCTGTATTAACTCGTCCGTCTAGTTTTTAAGGAACTTTTTCTAGCATATACAGCCACAAAAAAAAAAAAAGAAATAAGCGTTACCAGCAGCGGTGTCTGTCATCTTCGTATCAACTGTATACCCTTTTGCATTGTCAAACCAAAACACACACACGCACTCAGACACAACCAGTCAGGCTCACGTGCAGTCACCCACGTACGCGGCTGGGACATTCACGAGCCCATGGCAACAACGCGCGTAAATGGATCCGACCACGCACGCACGTATGCGCGAACACAAAACGTTTCCCGTAACTTCCCGTCTCGCGGCCACCTCTTTCGTGGCATAGCAGGACCAGTTACGAAGATGACCGCCTCAGCGCGCTAACGGACAATGATAATTCCAGCCGAATGATCTTCTTATGTTGGTCCCGACGTGATGCACGAGGTCCATTCTTGTTCAGGCTCGAGCGATTTGCGCTTTTTTTCCCCTTTCTTTCTTTATCTATCGTTTTACGTTTATTTTTTCTTTCTTCCTTTGTTTTTTTACAAGACGTGTCTGCGAACCGCTACGGACACAATGTGCAGTGTGGTCTTCGTCCGGTCTCCCGGACCAATAGGAGGCGCCGAAAACCGTTCACGCGGCGCGCCTCACCTGCTATGATGTCGACAAGATTGCACGGAATCCTAGTCCTTTTTTTTTTGTTTTCAGGGTCAGCCGTGAGCCTGATGACTCTCCTCTGGGTGCATGTGATGGCAGCCTGAGCACGTTGATGCCCTGCTTTGGGATGGGAGGCACGCTTTTGGGTTGGTTCGCCCAGTAAAAAAGAAGCAGTAAGAGCGGTCTGGTGCAGGGGAAGGGCCGTCAAGGGTTAGTTGGCTTCGTCGTAAAGTCGCGCTCGACAATCCGCTGTAGGTCGTCGTTCCTTGGACGCGCTGGAAAAGGAGGAGAAAGGATGACAACAAACGCTATTGTTTTTCTGCCACTAAGCGTGCCTTCGTACGTTTGTAACCAGTAAAAATTAAGAAGGTACGCATCTTATGGTTTAGGCTATAGAATGCTTGAGTTCGTGCTCACGTTATTTTAGAACAATGTTCCGTACTCATTAGTTCGAAGCTTGGACTCGAAATTTTGTTATCGTTGGTTTCAACCTAGTGTGCGCTTTAGCCACCTGAGGCATCTTTCTTCTTAGGAAGCTGTGAAAACAGAAAATCGTCTGCTCGCGATTGCGGCTGATTGACTTTGTTGTATAGGGACATCCACCCTGAATTTGAAGTTTTTGGTTTTAGAAACAACTGTGTCAAGTCTTTATAGTTCATAATGTCAACGATATTAATGACCCGAAAGGTATCTGACACAGTTTGTTTTAAGTTTCTTACGATAACCCTTTTTCCTTTTGAACGTTCATTTGTGATGCCGGTGGCACTGGTGGTGAATGTTAAACAGATAAAGAGGCAGTTTCTTTGGTTGAAAAGAGCTTAGTGTTTAAGTATGCTGGCTACAGCGTCAAGACATGTATGCAACACATAGCATTGTTTTAAAAATAAATTTTCAAATTTTATTAACGGTTTTATTATTCCCAAGGTGAGCTCGGTGCCAGCGCAGTTGTCTGTGGGAGCGCAGCGATATGAATGTGGAAAATATTACCATAACATCTACGGAGAAATCACGACCCCTAAACATGATCGAATGTTCTTTTTAAATTTAAACTCCGTATTAGACGGAGAATGAAGACGGGCAAACGGAGTGGCTGACCTTGCAGACCATACTGTTTATCAGGTCAGAAAGGCACATATATCGCATAAATGTAGATGGCAAAAGGTCAAGGTGTTTCGATTTTGTCCTTTTCTTTTTTTTTTTTTGTAATAACGCTTTGTTTTGTAGCGCTAGAAAATCTGACTAACGCGGTGTGACGGCAAATCCTGCCGTCACACTGCTTTAATGATCATCGTGAACTGGTAGATTAGCAACGAGGAACAAGGTTGGCTTCTTCGTATTTGTTTTCTCTTTTATCTTTTTTGTCTATCGTGTAATCTTGATTGAAACTATGTTTTTCGTTTTAATCCTGGAAGACTGCGTATACGATTGCTGCTGCCTGATGAGGAAGCGTTGAATTTAATTTGTCTAAACTTTCGTTATTGTGGGACGGTCTTGGTACATTGGTCATGCATGAACTGTCAGCAGGCATATAAGCTGCAGCACGATAGCAGACATAATTCTGCCATCATGTCTGCGGACCGTGTTTTTTTGCAAAATGTAGGAGCATTGCGACCGCGGCTTTAACGTTTGAAACTTCCAGGTTCCTCTTGAGACCAGGGCGCGACACTCTGAAGCCGAGGCGTGAAGGTCGCGTGCTCACGACCATCACCGCCCCAGAGTTTGCGACCGTTCTTTCATGCATGGCGAGACTGGCGACGATGACGAGACCGCAGAGAACAACGAGGGGTGGGAGGTCTTTCAACTGTCGTTGTTATTGTTGTTGATGACGTTGTTGTTGTTATTGTTGTGCTTCCACTATACTTTCGACACTGCCTGCCGCGCCGCCGGTGCCTTGTGTCTGGGCGGCCGTGCTCGCCCAGTGATCTAGATCGCTGTGCCGTAGACTGGCCTTGCCGCAACCTGGCGGCCACATTGACGGGACCCTTCGTGCGGCTTCAATTAGGGACTGGCCGGAGTCGGATCCTCACGCGTCGTCTCTCGCTGGCAGCTCTTTTCAATGAGAACGTGGCGCACGAGGAAGGACCCCCGGCTGACTGAGCGCGCCGCCGTCGCTTATGCTTTGTTTTTGCCGCGTGTGTCGTAAGCGGCTGCGATGGACACGTGTGCTTTTGTGGACGTCTGGGAGCGTCGGGGTTGGTGGGACCTCGTCGACGATTCTGTTTGATTCTGAGCAGGTTTCGATTGGTGAGCATTTATGCGCGTAATGGTTCTGTAGACCGGTGAAGCCTCTATTACTTGTGACTCTTGTGAATGATAAACTTGGTCTTAGTTGTAAACGCCTACGACTTGTAACAACCTGCATTCAGCTTCCAGTAGCATGGCCACTACATGCGACGTTACGTATAAGGTTGGAAACAACTAGGGCCACTGGAAGCGTTTACGAGTATATCACTGGTAAAGTATATCACCGAGCACTTTATGAATAAACGTAAGGATTCATAACAAGGTAAACAAAATCCCGAACAAATCTACTAGTGGTGTACGGTTCTAGAAGCGGAGGCGGATTTAGGGGGAAGGACCCCCCCCCCCCCCCCCCCCCCCCCCAATGCAGGACAGTGGATTCGCCAACGGCCAACAGTTTCTCCTTGGCAACGTCTCTGGTATTTCAATATAAAAAAAGGAGGAGAGAGATGAGTGGACAAGTCCACCAGACGAGAAATGTACTGGCGAAGAGAAAGCGGTGCTTCTTCGAAGTTAAGAACGTACGATGGCAGCTTGGCGGCCATGTAGGGAACTTCACGGAGCTGCTGCGCTTCAGAGCGAAATATGGTGAACATGCCATCGAAAAACATCTCTCCACAGCCACAGGGAGGAAGATGGTCACAAGCAAAACAACTCAAAATGCCCTTATTCAAGGTCGCGGAGGCGAAGTTCTGTCCGTGATCCTGACACGAGTTCGACAGAACACATATTATGGCATTATGTTCGATGAGACAACCGACGTGGCTCACAAGTCTCAGCTATCTTATTTTGAGATGTGAGCATCTTGTTTTGAGATGTGAGCATGATTTAAAGTTCAGAAAAGATTTTGTGGGTTTTTTGAGTCCTCGAGAACCCAAGTCTTAAGATTCGAATCAGAATTCATCCATGTTGGACAGCGGGCCCGACAAGGAAGAGCACGACGAAGACGACGCACTAGAGCCAACACTGACTGGTACCAACCTCGGAAAAATTGTGCTAAGTCTAATGAAGTCATTGTCTCATGACCCCAAAGGCTGTGCAGGCATTGCATCCGAGGGATGCTCAGTAATGACCTCCGAGCTCTGGGGTGCCATTCAGGAAATCCAAAAAGCAGCCATGCATGCAGTTCAGGCACGTAGCCAGAATTTTGTTTCGGGGGGTGCGGGGGGGGGGGGGGGGGGGCGCCCATGACAAAATGCTGTATGAGAGGAAGGGGGGAGAGGAGGTCCCAGCAAAACGGAAGATTAAGATTTCAGTGGGCGGGGGGGGGGGGGCCATGGGCCTCCCCCCTGGCTACGTGCCTGATGCAGTTCGATGCCCCTGCTTCAACCACGGCTTGAACCTTTCTCTTTCCAAAACATCAATTGTGCAAAGTGTCCGAAACACCACCGGGACAATGCGAGAAGTCATTGCGTTTTTTACGACCTCGCCCAAGCGTAAGGCCGTGTTGAAACTCCAGCTTAGCAAACAACTCGCCAACTTATGCAACACACGTTGGGTCGAACGTCACGACGCCGTTTTGCAGTTCAGAGGGAGCCTGGGAACCATCGCAAAGGCGTCACAAACGCTTTCCCAGTGGTGAGAACAAAGCTCGGCTGCCAAGGCGAGATCCCTGCTTACGTCAGTCCTCGATGCCGAATTCGTCATCGCAACCCTAGATCTCTATGACGTTCTCTCAGTCACGCTTCCCGTGAGTCGGCTTCTCCAACAGCCGTATCTCGAAATTAACAGTTTTTTGGACATTGTGAAAGACACAAGCGTTGTCCTAATCGAAAAGCGGAACTCGTTGAACGCCGAGAAGACTTTCAAAGAAATTTTAGCACATGCAAAAGACATTGCCGAGAACATGGGAGCCCAACTAGATGTGCCTCGTCTAGTGCAAAGATAGATGAACTGCGCGAAATTCCCTCCACAGACAGCCGAGTGATACTCCGGCGCACATGTCTACAATCCTCTTGTGTAATCTGCCGTGGTAGTTCTCAAGCACCGTTTGCTGGAAAAGGTGCTGGAGGTGTACTGCCTCAACACGCCTTTGCCGCGCCACATGGATGACAAGGAAGCTCAAGCAAAGCTCAGTATCTTGGCAGCGAAATACGGCGTGCTTCTCGGAATGGGGGATGTCGCATTGCAGACCATCGTCAGAGCCGAACTTTTAAATGTGGTGGTGAAATGGAGACGCGAACAAGAGAAGGGCCTTTTGCATCGATGGCTGTGGAGATACTGCAAGAGTCGGAGCCAGAACTGTATCCCAACATTAAGACCCTGCTGTGCGTTCTCGCCACACTGCCAGTTAGCGTTGCGACGGCTGAGCTGTCCTTGTCCACCCTTCGTAGGATTACAACTTGGATTAGATCGCGGTGTGGCGAAAAGCGACTCAACGGTCTTGCCCTCATCAGTATCCATCGAGATGTCAACGTCGACCATCAGAAGATGGTTGACCGCTACGCGCAGGGAGTACGACGACGGAAGGCGATGCTCGTGCTGTGAAGAACCCTTAATTTGATAACTCGTGTAAATAATTATGTCTGTATACTGTCCTCCCTAAATGTAGGGGGTTATCTTCTTCATCTCATTAAGTAAACGTGAATCTGCTCGATAAATAATTTTAATGTCGTTCCATGCAATTTGCCTGGGCACTGCACTGAAGAACATTTGAGTTCGCATTTTTGTTTTATATTGTTTTTATGCATCCGCTACAAGACCATAAAGAATCAAACAGTTATTTTTGCTCGGCTGTATCCCGTCGCTGAGGAATCCCACCCAGTGTTTCTCTATTGGAGTTCAATTACCCCAACTAAATGTTGAAAATCTCGTCACGTCACGCCATCCTCAAGAACGGTGCATTTTCGAGACTGAGTCAATAAAATAACGAATAAAATAACAAGGCATTTTGATCACGTTCATCAAGGAATCAGGAAGACTCCATATTATGCGGCCTTCTTACATTTGTCTAGATAACATATCCTTTCTTCTCCGGTCTTCGTGGTCTAAATTGCTGTATCCTATTTGATCGAGTCTCTGCTAAAACTCTGTCACGCCACGTGGCTCAATTGCCTGTGTTGCCTAAATGGGGATAGTCACTGTTTAGATGTAGAATATAGAACCTTGCGCAAGTATATATCTCTCTCTATTTCTGTATTTTTTTTTTTTACTACTTAGTGCACATTTTTGAACCACTGGAGCAGCAAGTGTGGTCTTATAAAGTAGAACAAGTAATTAAAATTTGGTGGGCATTTTAGGCTGTAAGAAACGTTAAAACACGATTAATAGTTTCCTTTTTAGATGCCCTAAAAATTACTAACCCGCGAAATTGAAAAAAAAAGAAAAATCACCACCGCCCCCTTCCTTCTCCCCCCCCCCCCTTTCCTCCTCAAACCTTAGCCATAAATCCGCCCATGACTTGAAGTCTTGCTGACTTTATTGTCTTCCTGCAAGACGGAGAGGGCCACAAATAAGCGCTTGGTTAGCGCTTATTTGACAATTAATTATTTTCTAATCAATCGCTTGGCACAAATAAGCGCTTGGTTAGCAAATAATTAATTGTCAAACATGGTTCGATCCGGCTCTTCCGGTGTTTGACTCTTCTGTGCCAGTCGCGACGGTCTCAGTTTGTTAACGCGGGGAAGAGGTCTCATTTTTTCCCCGCAATTATTGAATTTCTGTTGGACACAGGAGGTATATGCCATCACGAGAAATTTGTTTGCTCTTATAGCTTGTAATCATAGCAGAGCGTAACATGAAAAGAAGGGTTTGTTCGGAGGATTGAGAAGCTAGCTGTATATGAGAACCAGTTGAGTTACTCATAGTCCCTCGTATGATGCAGATATTCGGGAGATTGAGTGATCATTGGGAGATAGAGGGTTTACGCCCCAACAGGCTGCCAGGTGAGCCAACACAGAAGATATACAGGTTGTCCTTATACTTCTAAGGAGACTGTGAAGAGAAGGCTAGTTTTGAACTAATCCTATTTTTTGAAGCACATTGAACTTTCATATTCAAAGCTTCAAGTTCAGGTCAAGTTTGTGCACTGATTCGTTAACTGGGCTGCTATCATCACATACTTCAAGCCCTTCTCTGAACCAAATAAAAAAAAGAAAACATTCACTTGGAGGGTCGTTTACCTGCTCACCAACTGAGCGAGATAATCGCTTCGGAATGGGCATTGTGGTTCCTGTACTTGCATCCATAAGGTCGCTGAAAGATTAGATCTTATCGCAAGCTCCGAAAGGAGGGCGCGCCTATAATTCCCGTCTAGTTGAGGAGAGTGGAATGAGCGGGACTTGGGAGGTGTAGAAATCTTTGTGTTATAAGCTACGGTGGCTCTCTCCACTCCTTTCGTGACTACAAAAAAAACAAACGAACAAAGAAAAACAGCAAGAGTGTGCCAATTACTGTTGGGCATTTTTACTTCAGGGTAGGTTTCTTTGATTTTTGTATGCTTGTTTTAGAATGCAATTGTTTCTATAGGAGAAATCTATAGCTCATGGTCTCGTGAACAAAAGCAGATAGCAAACCCAGACCTCACTCTTTCTCTTATGATTAATACAAGCGCCTGAACTCAAAAGATATGTGCACCGCTTTCTGTAACAAAACAGGTAACACACAAATACTGTAGTGGGGATCCTTTTTATGGCTCTGGCAAGACCGACTCCAAGCAGTAGTATCTGCAACTTGAAACGATGTGCCGTTTGACAGCTACCACATCCTGGTGCACTTTTGACCTAGCTCTTGGTCCCAGAGGACTTGGAAGCTATACCCTTCGTTCTTTTTGCATATGATGCGCTGGCAGGTGATGTCGCGTGTCACTCAATGTGTCAGTAGCTATGACGCACCCCCTCGGATGACTTCCTGAACATTTGTCTTCTTGTCCGGCTTTTCTCTCAGCAGGCCTGCATGCCCAGCCATTAGCGAAGAAACAACGATATCATTTGTCTTCCGCTAAAGTTTCTGAGCAACGAAGGAGACTCATTTGCAAGTCGTGAAGAATGGTATGCCGCCCGAGCGCGGGCAGCCGCCATTAATTGTCTCAACGGGGGGCGCCGTCCACTTCTTCGGCCTCGACGGTACTGGTACCAGGACACGCGGGGAACTCTGCCAAGGCGCTAATGCGAAGCCGGGCCCGGCTGGCCTCCTTTTCGCATGCACCGACCTTGCATCTAGAGCACGACCCACCCCCGCCTGATCAGAACGGCCATCGAAGCCCCCCTCTAACTATAGCTCCTTTGGACACACCTTTGCTTTCGAGGGAAGCACTCCTTGGCGAAGAGTCCATACCAGGCACGTATCGAATGACACGGACGCTGACCGGGGTCAAGTGTGATTACGGGTACGTGTTCAAAGCTGCAGAGGGGTCGGGGTTGACGGCAATTAGGCCATCGGTTGAATTAGTGCCGTCACGGAGAGTTTGGATGATGGTGCGGTCGTGACGGAGGCACACGCGGTTGGCCCGTCGGCGGCTATTCCTATGGAAGGGGTCACCTTCTGCCCGCTTTTGGAATAACTGGTGAGGCCGTGTGGGATTGCGGGCGAGGGCTTAGAAAAGCTGTTGTACGTATTGTTTTGTGCGAAGGTTAGGCTTGCATCTCGATCGTGTAGAACAAATTGCTGTATACCAAGTTCGATGTTACTGCGGCACTGCGCCATCAGCTGCTTCTTTTATTCCTGTTAGGCGAGATCTGGAAAGAACGACTTCGTAGCGTGATGATTATGTCCCATGTTGGGATGCTTGCTTATATTAGCGGTCAAATTATTATGTAATTTGACATAACTCTTATTATCTTTGTGAACTTTCCGTACTATGCAGTTACTGATGAAAGGGAAAAAAAGAAGGGACGTCCCTTTTAGTTTGCTGTAACTCTAGCAGTGACACGCCATGTCGTTGTAACTAGTTTCGCCATGTTTGCCTCCTTCGTAACCTTGAATTTTGAAATCCTGATAAGTATTCGTTGTCATCATGGGTTGTTTTTCAACTTTGGTGAAGGCTAAAGAAGGAAAAAACAGCTTACGAGAAACCGCGACTCGGAAGAGAGATCGTCGGCACGTTTCCAGCAAAGGGCGAATGCAAAGGAGGGTCCAAAAGGAAGGATTTCCCGACTTAACATAACCCGCAAACAACAACCTTACTTAACGACCCACACCATAGAGCGCACACTCAGAACACGCATTGCGCAAGATGTGCACGAGGCGGAACTGGCCACGTCCTGGCACATACCGTGGACGCATATTAAAGAGGGCATCCCACTGTCGCACCTTTAGCGGCTAACTAAAGCAATGGGACACCAACAGCATAAATTGTTATGTTTATGTCTCTGACGCAGGTAGCGACTGGCTAGCATGGCCGAACGCTGAGTCTGCGTTCCCGCGCTCGCGACCGACGCAAATGACGTAACGAGTCCAGTCTAAAGGCCTTGTATTGGCTAAACACAGAGTTTTCCAGGAAAACACGCTGGACAATGCGTTCCATGGTTCGCTCTCCTCGCCAATAACGTTGAGTTTCGGAGACACGCACGATCCACGAGTGTGCAGTGTACACACCTGCAAGCACGGGTCCCACGTATTCCGAACTTGGCTTCGAAGCAACGCATGAGACGAGATACAATTTGCGCGGGTTGATTGACGGCGGCCAAGCTTCCAGCATAGATCGATGGAGATAACAAGTGGCGTCCTCCGCGACTGCGGACGAGGTGGCCAACTATAGACGCCGATATCTGCGGGCGAACAAAGCCCGTTCCTCGAGAGGCGCGTTGGGCAAGGCTCTCTGGTCTGGAATGCGCCGATCAGCGACCTCGTTTTTTTCCTTGCCGCCGGCAGCGCCATTGTTGTTGCTGCTGACACTCGCTTGCACGTGGGCTGCTGCCGCTCCGCTCAGGCTCGTCGCGTCTCTCCTCGCGTTCCACGAGAGCTTTGTCCGCCCCCTGCCGACTGCTCGCTGCTGCAAGCTACATGTCCGCTGACGTATATGTAACGATAAAGCAGTGATCTGGTGAGCTGGTGTAGATTTACCATTTTGTTTAAACCACCTGAAACTGCTGTGAGATATAGGTGCTTTACACATATGCCAGATTACAACCACCACAGCCGACCTCCTCTTGTGTTACCGAGATGCCGAGTCACCGAAGCAGGCGCTGACGAGCCTCCACAAAGACCTATGGCAAGGGCACAGTAGTACCTAAAGTGGCACTAACCTCTCCTGCTCTGGGAATTATGAAGTGAGGTGAAGGAATAAGAGAAAACAAAAACTGAAGGTCGGTTATGGCGGCGCCCATGCACAGCTGCTGCAAAGCGTCTAT